CTCTTGGAAATCACAATGGAATTTTGGTTCCCTGTCTATTTAATAAGCCATTTCAGCGATAACTTAAAATATACCGGCATATAGTCATTTTGGTAGCCAGGGTAACAAGCCACTACGACGTGTGTTGTCGACTCAACGTTGTTCACGCCTTGCCGAGGCTCGTGTCTGCGTTCATGTGGTGGGCGTAGAAATGTAGAGATATGATCATAAGACAGGGTATAGTAGATCAGCAAAGCGATAGAAAAGGCTATTTGACATTGCCGAAGGATTTAAGATTTGCGTTCTTGTCCAGTGGTTTTCAATATTTTCATATCTTCATACATTGCATTGTTGATGCTTTGCTTACAATAGACGCACCCACGTTACTTTCCTTTGTCTGATTTTAGTGGCTGAAGGAACGCCGTGTTTTTGGTTGGTAATACGTAATTTGATTTTGTAATCACCACTCCTAAAAAGCCTCACTGCTGACTCCTGACTGCTGTTTCATCAAATTTAGCCTGCCTCTGACAAATCGGGCAACCGAGGCACTCATGCCCTTCTGGGTCAATAAAGCATTGCAAATTGAATTCCACTGTATTGATGGGACACGCATATTACAGAATGATTGGTTACGGATATGTAAGAGGTTGGAGCATGTGAAAATCCAAAGGAGCGAAAACGGTAGTCACCTATAATCAATGCTGAATGTAATTAGTTAACTCTCGAGGGAAAAGAAAAGAGGTCAAGTGGGTCACACTAAAAACAGCAGTCATCGAAAAACATATTAGTTGAACCAGATGAGTACATATTCGCCGCATTACATTTGCAGGTAGACGAATAAGCATATCTCAACAGATTCCGCTACGTTGAATTCGTAGCCAAATAAATGGTAGCAATAACTTCTGAAATTGTCCGTAATCCCCACTGAAGCAAATGCAAATAACCAGTATTGATACGATTAAAAAATAAACATTACACTCAATCGATCATATCATGTACAGAAGACACAATTATAGGTGGCAAAAAGTAAGTAATTATGCCTACCCTAAGGCGACGAAAGAGTAACCTGTACGCAAAGTAAGTTCTTTTCGTCCAAATTCGATTGCGCAATCAAGCGAAGTATGCGGTCAAAGGACTTGCTCGCAACGTATAGCCAGACAACTCAGAGGCTGAAGGAACACGCAATCACACTTGAAGGCTGCTGCATGCAAACAGTAAACATAATATTTTGGCTAACAGGGACTTTTAACAAACAATCGCACGCATCATTCTGTGAATGTTGGCCTGTTCGACTGGACTCCTGACGGTGTTAACAGCTGGCGAGGTAGATGAGATGTATGGTTTGCATTAGCCCAAACCAATTCGCCTCTTCCAAACTCTTGAGGCTCCTCCTCCAACTGGTCTTGCCCATCATGGATTTTAGCGCCCAAGTCGATTACTCAATCTGACACATCAGTCTCAGTCTCGGCCAGTGTATCCATCCCTGTGGCTTCTCTTCCGACCTTCAAGTCTCTTTAAAACCGTCCGGTGTGTGCATGTCTTTGACTTCGACTCTTCATCTCACACCCACCCAGGCGTCATCCCGAATCGGTCACCGGCCTTTCGTCTCACCCAGGCAGCCTCGAAGCCCACCTCCTGACCATACCTCCCATCAACCGGTGCGAGTGTCTCCACCCCTCAGGCGGCTTAGCCGGGACAGATGGAAAGTGAACTAATTTGCTGGCACTGGGACCTCCTGCTTAGAATATAGGACATCTGGGACCCCGGACAGTGACATCCCTACAGCCATTTTGTTTGCTCTCATTCTCGTGTGTACCTATATCCATTAATCTCGTATGGCCAATCGTGGAGTTGAGCTGAATTTAAAAAAATGCTCTTTCTTCTGCTCATCTTAAATTGGTTTAGCCGTCTCGACGACACCCTTCGCAGCCTCTTCGCCCTGTGTGAGTATAGACAGATCAGGTATAAAAGTCTTTCTGTTTACTGCCTTCCATCACATTAGCTCAGAGGTGGAGCTGTGTCCAGCCTCGAAGTTGGCTGAAGATACAAGTTCTGGGGAACTTAATCTCTGGCCTTGCGCGCCTTAAGCTGTTGGACTATGTCGGCTTAAGAGAGACGAAGCGATTAAATAAAAAACTAGAACGTAGTAAACGTGCCTGCTCTCATGTCAAAAGCAGTCCATCTACGTCTGTCCGAACCCTTTAATTATCCCTCCGTCTTATTTTCGCTCCACTGAGATCTCTGATCACTGACTCACCAAACCAACTAACCAAACCTACCTTAATTCATCGTTTATTCAGTCTCACCTCTGGCTAGGACAAGTTAACACTGGCAGAGCACCCCTATTCCAGTTTCATCACATTGATATCTTTCTTGCCTTTCACATGCCTTAGTATATATATATATATATATATATATGACCCTAAACATTGTTTTTCCTCCAGAAAAAAGGGATTTGCCTAGCGCCAAGACTATGGCCAGCTAGTCAGACAGACAGGTCAACTGTAACTATTGCATGATTTCAAAGTTCTTTCATTCGGCTGGCGTTGCGTCTAAAATTATAGTAGCATGGACTTATTTGATAGGGTCATGGGAGGATGAGGGCTTTGGCGCGAATGGGAGGGGTACATGCATGCAGATGGACTCACGATTATTCACGTTTGTATGCTCGTACAAGCAGCCGGGGTTGCACAAGTGCTATCCTGTCAACTCTGGGTGGACGGAGAGATATCTTTGTTTACTTTAACGACATTTCTCAGCTCAATCTGGACAGGAGCTGGACACAACCACTTAGCAACAAGGTTTATGTCAACCAACAGATTTGTAAAGACACGTCGATTGCGTAACCTGTCC